GATAACAGAAATTTTTCACAAACACTTTCATTATTTTTAATTAATATATATATATATATATATAGTTATTTGAGCGTAAACACATGTCTTTGATAGAACAAAATTCGTAAGCTTTTTTCTCCACCTAAAATTGCACGACATCAGTTATCACAAATACTATGAAATGCAATTATTTTTTTGTTTTAAAGTTTCTTGCATCCATAATTAAGTTTATCATTTAAATTCTTTTCTGAGCGTAGATTAAAAAAATCACTTAAAAATTGAGAATATGCAAAAGTCAATACGCGTGTTCGTATTTTGTTAATTTTGTCAAAGACTTTTTAATTTATAGGGCATTGAACGCTTCTAGTTAATCGGTAAGTTTGCTTTTGTGTCCAGCAAATGAGAATTCGTTAACGGTACTCTCTCGAATAAAAACAGACAAAGAGGCGGAATTTGAAGCGGGGAATTCGACAAACATCGAGGACGTAATGAGAATGAAACAGCGTGAGGGACGACGACTTTGTCTGCTCGCGCAACTAAAATTAAAACTTGAATGGCCGCTTGAAAAGTTTCAAATTAAATCTGACTTCACCCTGCTTCTTCATTCTGAATTGACTTTATGTAAGCGTTTGCATCTTGTGTCTATTCCTTCATTCCTTGCCATGCGATTCGTAACTGAGTGTACGCACACAACTATAACCGTATGAATCCATGTTTTCGGGTGTGCGTGGGTCGGTGGGGGGAGGGGGATGGCTGACTAAGATTACGCTTGTCGTTCTTTCTGTTTGTTATATGTTGTATGCTATAAGTATCGGGACAACTGAGAAAACAAGGCTTTAATCGTCTCGACATTGTTGATACTTTCTTCTTTGTAGAAAGGGAATGAGAACAAGAGCGAAGGTAAGCAGTCATATTTTCTTTTATTTTACAGAAGAGTTTTACATAGCTGTGTAATTTTTCACTCTGGAAATATACTTTGTGATTCGGTTGTTGAAAACGCGGGTCTTGCGCAAGAAATAACTTTTGCATAATATCATATTTTTGAGAAATTTTCCCGACAACTTTATGTTAATTTTCAAACAAGTTAACTTTCATATATTTTTTTTTTTTATCACAATACTCTGTAGATTTGTGTGTGTGTGTGTGTGTGTGTGCGCGCGCGCGCGCGTGTGTATTTTGTCGAAGCATGCATTTTCGGCATTAAAATAAAAATGTAATTGCAGATATTCGAGTTAATACAGTGGTAAATAAAATTTTTCATTATTTTGTATATCTATCTGTTATTATTATTCATTGACCATGATACAAGTATTTTTATTTTAATAAATCATAATATTATACAATTTGATATTCTTTCAATGACTCAATGCATTCGAGATACGTATGCTGCAAAATATGTAAACTACAAAGAAAACGTCTGTAGTTATACCTTATATTTTAATAATGAAACTATTCAGGAATTTTAGATTACGAAGTGAACTCGTTATGTAAAATAATCCTTGTGGGAGAGATTTTAGATGTAGGTGTAATTAAATATTATTGTAGAGAATATTTCAATATTACACACACATACACGCACACGCACACAAATATATATTTATATATATAGGGTATAAAAAATATTACCAAATTATTGAAAAACGAATATCGACTTTAATCACACTTTGGTAGAATTTGTTTTAGCTCATATTTGAAAGAATCAACAGTACATACGCGTTCGAGTACCCCACATCAAAAATTATTTAAACAAGTTTATCAGCAAATTCATATCAAACAAACAACGTTCTTAGTAATCTATTTATTTTTTTTATTTTTTAACGAATATTTCCTCTACAGACACGTTAACGTATCGTATGAAAAGTTAAATAAGTATGAATTCAATCAAGTTCCAGTTAATAATAATTGAAATTACAATTTTAAATGGAAATTTTAAATAGAGTTAAGGTAATTGGAATACCAAAGAAAAAGTATCTCGTGATGTTACGTAACTTAGGTTACGATAAGCTCCCTTGCAATAGGGTGAATTACAATAGAAAGAATTACAGAAATTCAATTAATTACTACTAGCCATTTTAATTTTGTCCCATCCAATCATGACGATCAAGATCATAATTAGGCAAGAGATCGCGAGGGCTCGGCCATTCGTTAGCCGCCAATCAGAGAGAAGCGTCCGATCTGCCCGTCCAAAATGGCAGAATAGATGGCGAAAATAGGGGCAAAGAAGTCGTCATGACTAATCGGCTCTGACTGCACGCCCCATATAATTATCCTGGACTCTTGAATTTCCTCCTTTGATCAGGTTGTCCCATCGCTTGGCCGCTCCGTTCCTACTCACGTACGGGAAGGCAGGATGACACTTCCCTATCACCTCGGATTAACTGTAATCAGGCCTCGAGACGCGTTGACACGTACGGATTTCCATTTCCATCCTGCAATTGGCATATGGCGAGCACCTAAGGAGACAACCTCATCCACTCCAAGTTCTCTAACTGTATTGATGTATGCGTTCGCTTGTCTCTCATGTCGATGCAACGATGCAAATTGCTCAATGTATTACTGTGAAGGAAACGAAGGAGTTAGATAGTTGTTTGATATTTTTAAAATTTGAAAATGAAGCTTATTACGGGACATCCGAGTGGTCCCTATTTATTACTATTTCGACGAAAGGATTAGAAACATTATTATTTTAAACGTCCAGTAGAGTGGCTTTCATCGCCTGCTTGCGACTCACTATTGCCAACATAATGAACTGTTTGTGACCAATAGAAATAATTCGAATGTCTTATACTTTAATGGCTTACCTGAAATTGTAATAATGATTCATCGACACGAAATTGTCGTTTGAAATTGGTATGTCTTTTGTGTCCAAATTTAACTTGACTGATGTTAAACAAGTTTGCCGAAATCTTCAATAATCTTGTATTTAAGTTTAATTGCTTTGAAGAACTTTCACGTTCCAAATTCAATTATAATCTAAATTATGCATTTATTATTTATGTACAAGATCATTGTGCTTTGTAAGTAACGTTTATGACCTATTGGTTCTGACTTCTTATACAAATGAAAATTACTTTCCTAATCTTGCCCAATAGTTTGACAATATTCTTAGGAATTTTTTATTCTTTTAGTTGACGGTGATTAGAGCTTCGAAACATAATGTATTTCGCAATTTTTTAAATTTTCTTTATCAATTGATTAATTATTCTCGAAATAATTTGTGAATGATAGAGCGCAGAAATAATATCGAGATTTAATATTTTTTCACCCTTATACTTCATAGTAGTAGAATATATTTTCAAGTACGTTTTAATTATAATTTTATAGATTTTATTCGATCGACTATTAATGTTAACGGTAATGTGGTAAGTCAATGGAAAAAGAAAAGCAGAAATAAAAATGGAAAAAAAATAATAAATTAAACATGTAATATTCATTAAATGAAAAAACGAATGTGCACATTATTTTGGCTTTCTACGTACTTTCATTATAATGTAGTTAAGAAAATTGATTGAAAATATTTTAATTCTTTTAATCATTTCCCTTTCTCGAAGAGCATTCCCATATTATAAAAAGTTAACATCAAAGAATAATTCATAGCAGCTTTAACTAACTAGACTTTGACAAAAAGAATATAAATATTTATTTAATTAAAATGTCTATCAATATCTTTTTATTGTAGTTACTTCGTAAACAAAAAGAATGAAAAAAAAGAAAACTTGTAGATTAATAGATATCAAAATTTCCCCGTGCGTATGCATATCAGATAAAGGAAACTATTTAAAAAGACATGTTATTTGAATATCATTTGTAGTAATTTATATTTTATAAGATTAAATAGAATTTGCGCGGTTGTGTTTACTGTCTCTCATTGTACATTTATTCCCAATGATGTTTTATTATTAGAACATATTTGTTCACGGATAGAAAATTTGATAAATCATAGGCATAACAAACCTTACCCACCAACTACGACTATTGCAAGAAAAAGAAACAATGCTCAACCATTATATTCAGCTGAATTTATAAGTAAATTGTAAGAGGTTTCTAATTTTTGCTATTAAAAATGTCCATCATACTTTTCGACTTCTGCCAAATTTGCTAATGTTAAAATGTGTAAAATGCTAAAGTGTCCAAAATATCAATAAACGTGCGACAAATTAAGGGATTAAGGGATAAAATTAAACGTCTGTCTGAAAAAATGTGCACTAAACCAACCAAGAGCAACTATCAGGGAAGAAGAAATTAAATGAAAAACTTTTCCCAGGCAAAACAGTCTTGAATTTGTTGCTTACTTTTCCAGACTCACTCGATAAGACGGCAACTTGAGAGCCTTTTATATAAGCATAGCAATTATTTTCATTGAAAAATGATTGCTTGTCAGCTAATGCCAAAGCTTTCATTTTTTATTCGAAAGCCGGACGAAAAGTCGAAAGGCGGGATGGGCTGATTTTATGCGACGGCGTAATCAGTTTCTACAAACGGATTCGCCTTCTTAACGCCGGCAGCACTCCTCCAATTATGAAAATCGAGTGCCGACACAAACGTCCTTGGCTCTAAAGTGCTTAATCGCAGGCATGCCAGAGTAATTATTCCCCGCAGCCGAGCACGAGTCAAGCCGCGATGATTAAGGGAGCCGCGAGGGAGGAAGAATCGCGCCCTCCCATCGACATTAACCTAGACATCTCCACGAGGGCGCTCGATCTCTCAGGGGAGGCTTTCGATAACCGCGAGGCACCTTCGTGTCGCCGGCCTTACCCCCCCCCCCCACCGAGACAGCCACCGAGGCCGGATAAAGCGGGCGTAAAAAGGACGAGGAGAGCCCGCGAGCGTCGAAAGCCGCCCAAGATAAACAAAAGGGAGCTGACGCCCGGAGAGGGGTAGCGTCGTACATACCTCGTTCCCTCCTCGCCTTACGGCAAGCCGTTCGGTCCGCGGGTTGGTGGGGGCGCGCGCAAACCTCGGGGCGCAGGCGTCCGCGAGCCGAGCGGAGGCACGGAGGCGCTCAGTCGTCAGGCGTACCCCGAGCCCGGGGCCTCGCGGCCACGACGACGACGCCCCAGGCAGCAGTCGCCCGCTAGGGCCGGCACGCGCGAGTGATGTCCAGCACCGAGGCGACGCGCCACGCGAGCGCCCGCCTCGTCGAGATCCTCGCCAAGGCGGCTAAGCTCGAGGTTACGGGCGAGGAGCTCCTGGGGACGCGGCCCGCGAGGAAACTCCTCGCCAGGACGAGCGGCGCCTTTGGGCGATGCGCCCTCAGGCTCGGGCTCCTCGCCCTCGTGCTCGCCGGCCTTTACGTGTACGCGCGCTGGCCGACGCAGGAGGTCGAGACCGTGAGGACGGTGCTCAGGAGGACGGTGAGGCTTAACAATACATCTAAATTCCAAATTCGGATCCCAGCGAGAGTCCTTAGCTTCGTGTCCAAGCCGGCGAGAGCCTCGCCTACTTCCCGTCAAAATTGCATTACGTCCCGAGACTTCCACTCCGCCACCCTTATAATCGGATTTAAGCGACGCCCGAATGCCCGATGCTACCCTAAGCTCGATGCGCGTTATCAGCGATCGCGTCACGCGTCTTACACCACCAATGCGACAATTACATCCGTGTCCCATGCGCATTATGCGAGATGTCGCGTTTTATAACGCGCTTGCCGATACATTTTAACGGCAAAATTGAATTTCATTAGATTACGGCGCTTCCACTTTATTTAAAAATCTCCTATCTGGAGGAACACAGTCGAACGACTTGATAAGAACGATAGAACTCGCAAGCTAAAACTCACGTAATTGTAAATGTCGAAAGTATGTACATTTTAACGCCTCGTTCGTAAAATTCATAAACGATACAGCAGCAATCTTAATATTATTATTACTATTATAATTCTGCATTTGCGAATAACCCAACAATCGGCCTCGGGTTAATTAATTACAAAAACTCATAGATTTCGTGTAATTAGGATGAAATATTTAACTTTAATAAGAGAAAAAGAAAGTTATTAAAAAAATGAATTCTTTATTTTATATCGTAAAATCATTACACAAGCGTCACTTATAATTGTAATTCACTAATTATTATGAAAAATTTAAACATTCTTAATATTAAAAGCTTTAAAAGTCATTTAATTATATTTATAAGTGTGTAGGTATAGAATACTTATACAGATTATAATGCTTTAATACTCTGTCTTCTTAATATGATTTTATATAATATGTTATTTTTAAAATGAATTGACTGCTTAGCATTTCAAAATTAAAATCTCGTTGTTTAAATTTGCTTGTCATAAGAAAAGGACACGGTGGCATTTGAAGAGATAATGACATTATACGTTTTTAGCATCCTTTTATTAATTAAATTACATTTAAAGCTTAACATGTGTACATCGTTTCAATATTAAATGTTTCATTAAAATTTAGAATAGAAAACTTCTTTAACTGGTAGAAATACACTTAAAATTAAAATTTGAACGATCCTATTCTAATACTCTTTTTAAACCAATATATTTCAAAATATCTATCTTGGTAATATATGTAAAGTAAAAAAATTAAACTTCATACGTTTCTCAAATACACCAATACATTATATAATATTGCAGTTTATTTCATATATATCAGTTGATATATATTGATGATTCTATTATCCAGTTTTATTATTTCTAAAACGTCGCGTTTGCTTATAATAAATCAAATTTAATAGGTACAGAGATGTAAATTAATTTTGTTAATACTTTATCGACGTTTATTGTCATTTACAAATATATATATATATATATATATATATATATATAATGAAAACAACATGTGTGCGTGGGCGTGCGCGCGCGTATGCGTGACAGTGGGAGTGCATTTATATATATTTACTTTTTACAGTACAAAAAATATTATTTGACATTTTTATCTTCTTTTATAGAATAAAATCCTTTATATAAAATTGAAGAATATAAATATCATATTTCAGAATTAAATAACACACCCAATGTAATAATTTATATGAATTTATATCTATAATTTATAATCATTGATTAACTAAGCTACATAACCATACGTACCTAAATACAATTAAATAAATCAATTTCATAATTCAGCTAGCAATGCAGTTATTTGAAAAATAAAATATAAGATCGAGTATATAAAAATAGGGCACAGTGTAAATTATATTCAAATTTGTCAAATTGTTTTAAACTCAGTTGCGCGAATGTTCGTCTATGAAAAAAGAAAACAACAACAACAACAACAACAACAACAACAACAACTTAATTTACTAATTTTATTATTAGATGCTTTTTCTCTATATTGATAATTGTGCGAAATTCTAACTACACGTATAAACTTTTTAAAGCTTTCTTTTCAATAAATGAATATTATCTTTTATCCGATCGTGTTAGTTCATTCTCTAAATAATTTCAAACACAAACGTACACGCTCGCCCCTATAAAACGGTAAACTATATAGACAATATATATATATATATATATGTTTTCTTATTTTTGTAGAAGCTTTAATAGTGAGATATCCACGAGTGTATTTGTTTACAGTTTAGTATTTTATAATATCGCTTTTCTACGGCATAAGTAATTTTAATATACCAATCTATAGTGTGCACACTCTCTTTCATGACTCTCGCTTCAAATTGAAAATAACCTTGGGAAAAGGCTTTTGGCTAAGATCGTAAACTAATTTTAATGCACATTAATGAAATTTTGAAATCGCAGAAGAAAATTAATTTTATATGTTATAGAAATAAATATGAATATTGCGTGAATGTGAAAAATACGCGAATCATAATGAATGACGCAAAGGAATTTTTGGTTTCATAGGACAAAACTTATCCTGTCTATAAATATATTTACATTTATATGTCTTTATTATCATTAATTATTGTAGCAATTATTTTATTAATACTATCATAGTTTATTATAGCATTTAACAACTCAATGTAGATAATATAATTGCTAATATATATTGTATTTTCTACTATTTTAATTGCTGCACTGAACATTACTTAAGAGCTTTTCTTGAATGTACTATTAAGTTATCTAGAGTACATAATATTAATTTTGACGTTAAACATTATTTGCATGTATTTTAATATATACTATTGGAAATGACAATTTCAGTACACTCGCATGATATATTCTCGCCTGGTTTTCTTTATTTTATTTATTTATTTTTTAATTATTTTCATAATAATCGACAGCAGCCAGGTGTGAAAAACCGTGTATACATCCACATAACTAATTATTCAACAAAGGAAGCGTTCATCCTTCGAGTAATTATTTCGAATGTTTAGCAGCCGTCGGTAATTAAGAACATCAGACGTATGGATTCAATTGCTCTGGCGGTCTTACAATTAACTGTCTTATTAAGTGTTGCCGTGAAAAAAAAAAAAAAAAAAAAAAAAAAAAAAAAAAAAAAAAAAAAAAAACAAAATCGAAGATATAAAAACAAGTGGAAAGGAGAAAGACGCTTTAGCATTGAAACAAGATCATGCATGTACATGAATTTGCGATTACGCATATAATACGAATGGTATGGGTGATGCGCGTGTTTACATACATACGAGTATCTCACGCGTGCTTGAGCTTGCGCGCTTTCGAACCTCCTCGCAATGATATGCTGCGTTCTTGTATGCAAAGCTTCCCGGAAATGATCTCCTACGCCATGTAAGCCTTATCTTTGCGTGGCTGTACATCTTTTATCATTATTTCTCACGGCGAACCTGTTGTAATAATGTTAGAGAAGCGCAATCCGAGAAAAAGAGGATGAAAGGCTTCTCTAGATCTCAATTAGGATAAACAACAGCCGAGTTTTTAAGTGTTACATTAACGAATTTAAGGCTGGAATTTTCTCTCTCTCTCTCTCTCTCTCTCTCTCTCTCTCTCATCTCCTCCCTCTCCGCCATCCCTTCTTCTATTTAACCCTTATTTTTTTCAAGCATAGAACAAAACGAGAGATCGATTTATTTTAATTTCAATTGATGCTGAAACTACATGCACTCGTCGAATTTGAACTGCAGTAATGTCGAGTGGTGCAGCAGCACTTAATGACATGTTTTATACAAGAAGTAATTTACCAGCCCATTATTATTCCCCGTTTCGAATCAGTAATAATAAGGATTTCTCTAATATTATTGCCATTATCTGTGCTTTGATGTAGAACAATGCGAAAGAACGTGAAAATCATTAAAAATTGAGATATTCTTGTTTTACAGTAGCTTTCAAGGATATATATTATGCATAGAAGACTCACAGGGTCTCGTGTATGCTTCATCTTCGTAATTGTGTATTATTAGTGAAAAATTCTGTTTCACCATAAAAATGGAAACCTGCTATTTGACTTAATTTAAATATACCGCAGGTGATAATTAACACAGAAACATAAATTAATTTTAGAAAATTGTACGGAAAGGAAAATATATCGAGGTTAGTCGAAACCAGTGGCAACTGAAAATAAAATGTAGAAAGTAATTTAATTTTTTCTACAGAAGAATGAAATTTCTTAAAAAATAAATAATTTTAATATAATTAAATTAAAACTTCATCGCTTAAAGCAATTTCATATATTTATATGTATATGTATATTAAGGGTATTTATTACTAAGTACTTATTAATACTTATTCGTTAATAATTAGCAAATATACTTAACTCTGGATGTATACAGATTTAATAACATACAATCGGTAATTAATTAATAATGAGATTCTCATGACACCTATAAATTTGTTGGCTATATACGTAATAAAGCAATGATTTGTATTCGTCGTAAAACTCAGTAAATCCCTCATGGTGTGCGTATAATCCGTCAGCTGACTTTGCGATAAATTTTAACAGTCCGTACGGCAATGCGGGGGCGGCCGAATTTTATTTGCGACGCTGTAGCACGGAGGCGCATAGAGAACAAAGGCCGCTGGTAAAAATTTTTGCATACGCAGGCTCCATAACTGTCGGGGCTGTACCTGCTTTCCAAAGTCCACTGATGATATATTGTCTTGCTTTTTCCACTCGGTTACTTTTTCTTTTCGCTTGCTCTCTTCTGTCGTCTCGTTTAATGTTCCCTCTCGTTCTCGCACTCGCCCTGACACCCTGCCTCACACTTTCTCACTTTCTGCGCCTCATTGTCACTTCCATTTAATTTACTAGCGAAAGAGAGAAATAAAGGAGAGAAAAATGAATCTCGGGTAATAATGCATTAAGACTGACTCAATTTTTTCGTTAATTGTACTAGTGGCCGAATCTTACAGGGTTAAGAGTACGACAAAATTCTAACGAAGATCAAATTTTCCCTACGGTTCTCAAAATAACTCAACTTTAACTTTCACTACCTTCATTATGCAACATAATAATAATGATACTGATATTAA